GCCGCTGCAAACGCTGTGCGCTGACGTCCAGGTTCTCCGAGAAATGCTCTCTGCTACCAGATCCTCGCGCTCCAAATCTGCGACCGGGCACTTTATGGCTCCGTCGTTGAACTGCCAGGCTTTGTGAGTGTAGAGGAGGCTATGGTGTACCTTTGGAATGGAGAACCCCTACCCACGTGGAGTTGCTCTATCTGTGTCGTCAACTTGTCACGTGAGATGACTCGCCGGAGCAACTCGCATTCTAAGTGAGATTTAGAACATGGGCAAGGTATCACGGAAGTTTTTATTTATTTATTTATTATTTATTTACGAATACGGGGCTTTAACAGGTGTGGGGTATAGAAGAGCACTGAAACATACAACATCAGGACTACAATACTGTACACATCCAGCGACATTTACTTAAAATAAAGGGGCTGAAATACCACAAACAATCAATATACACTCTAAAAAAGTCTGTCTGTCTACTTTCACGCGCAACACTCGGAGAGCCAATCAGCGTGACTTACGGAGGCAGCTCAGCGAATGACGATGCAGATCGTTCAGACCAAAAAGCGCAGTCTGAGTTGTGACATTCAGCAATGCAAAACGTCACGCTTGCATTGCTTAATGCCACAACTCAGACTGCGTTTTTCGGTCTTAACAGATGTTTCGGCATCGTGATTTGCTGAGCTGCCTCCGTAAGTTGCGCTGATTGGCTCTCCGAGTGTTGTGCGTGAACGTAGACGCACAGACTTTTTTAAGAGTGTATTACAAAGCATTGAACAAAATGAATTCTCAGCACTCGAAATCTACCACTTAGCAAAATATTTAACTACTATTTATCATTCCAAATTAGTTATATTCAAGAGGCGCTCTCAAAATCATTTAAACAGTCCAATGACAATTTATGTTGTGGAAGATCATTCCAGTCTTTTACAGTTCTAGGGACAGCTACCGTCAAAGCCATGGTCGAAAGAGGAGGTCTGTCAAATGCTTTATTGGTGCTGCAAATCGCATACAATGAGCGCATTTCTTTGTTTCTTGTAATTTTTTTATGACCGCGGAAGGAAACGTCACGAGAAAGACGCAAGTACAGACTCGGTCAAAAATAACAAGAGAAACAAAACTTTGGTAATTCAGCCCGTTCTGAACGCGTAGTAAGACATGCGGACAAAAGTTAAGTTAAGAAACTAAGTGTGGAAACTCTCTAAACATATCCGAGAAGCTGCTTGATATTTTATTTTCGAAATGACATTGCAACTGAAATTCGTCCATCTGTTGAAGTCCGCCTTTTTGCAGACGATTGTCTAATGTACATAAAATTTAATTCACAACGGGACCAAAGCTATTAAATGACTCGTTAATGACTATGCACGAGTGGTGTCACAAGTTGGATAAGAAGATAAATTTTGAAAAGACAATTTTTGTAACAATCACAAAGAAGAGGTCGCCTAATATATTTCCGTATTCCTATAATAGTGCACTTTCGAAACAATCCGAAACTTTTAAATATTTAGGAGTCACAATTTCTAAAGATCTAAACTGCAAGGTACGTATAGAAAATGTGTGTAGTGCGGCTTTGCGAAAACTTGTGTTTTTAAGACGGGCACTCAAAAATGCAACGCCTGAAGTTAAATTATGTGCGTATAAGACTCTACTTCGATCATCTCTTGAATACGCCTACCTGATCTAGGATCCATATGTCAAATGTCAAATAGAACAACTTGGGCGTATCCAGCGGCGGGCAGTAAGATTTGTTTATTCCGAGTATCGCCCGACGGAATCGGTAACATAACTATTAAAAACAAAAAAAAAAAAGCGAGGCTGCCAACTTTGGGTCAGCGGAGAAAAATTCGAAGGTTTAAATGTTTTTATCAACTCTACAATGGGCTTTAGAACATCAGGTCGAGTGACTCTATACAGCTTCCTGGTAGGATGTCACCGAGAGTTAATAACCAGTAATGTTTGGAGGTGGGCTAGTCGGTGATGCATTGTAAACATAGAAATAAAACAGCGCAAACGAACACAAGGACAAGTAGAAGAAGGGACACAGACACAGCGCTGACTCACGACTTTCTTTCTCATCTTTTAACCAGTTAATAACCAGTTTGGAGTCAAGCCGTATTTCCCAAATCTCGATGTTTTTGAAGTCTTCTTTTCTTGTAAGAACAATTGAGTAGTGGAATAGTTTGGATGGCGACCTCTTTATTGGGATTGACAGTGCCGATAAGTTTGAAGTTGTATTATTTGATTTGTATGCGGAGACATACTAGTATTTTTTGGTGGTGGTGACTTTAGGTGGGTGTTGCTCAACCGAAATTGTATATTCAAATGATTGTATTGTGGTGATTGTTCTTGATCTTCGGTTGTTTATTTCTGTTGTTTTATTGCTGTACACTCTTGAAACAGCCCGAAAGGTCTTTCAGTATTGTAAATAAATAAATAAATAAACAAATAAACAAATATAGCCTCCTTATGAAAAGAAGAAGAAAAAATCGGTGAGCTCTTCTCCGCATCCGCCGGTTTTGAGGTCAGCTTTTCTCCGTTGAGCTTTTCTCGGGGATCCAGATGTCTTCTTCCTCCCTAGCTTAAAATCAGTTCCAAGCAGTTGCGTTCTTTTTTTCTTACTTTATTAAAAATATAGGTGACGCTGTAGCAAAATATAGATACTAACATCATATTAAATCACCTAACAAAAATTTTAAAAAAATATTTGGGGTTGGAGGTGTCAGTGTCTCTTTAATTAAAGGTGAACGGAGTATAGTAGAGGTTTAGTCACGCGTCGAATGGTCTAGCCACGAGCACAAAAGCTCGTAGTGCAGCTCATTGTCCCCTGAACACATAAAGGAGGTTTTAACTGACATATGGAGTCACTCACCGTTGTCTTTATCTGTCGGCGACTTTGCGATGCAATAGACAAAAACAAAACGCTACTTTGCTTTTTTTTTCTTTTTGAGTCGTTTTGCCATTTGGTTTCTATCTGCCAATCTCCCAATACGCCGCCATTGTGATTTGTATGGATCGAGTGTCTTAACGCGGCTACCAGTTGCCGCCAACAAGACGTCTGTCACTATTTTGTCAAATAAAGTCAGCCAGACCAAGTTAGACATTCCCTGTTTGCATAGTAAGAGATGGATCTGCCTTTGAGGTAAGGCGACACTAAATTGTGTTGTTGAGGATAAATGTAGCTAGCTCGGTACGACTGCTAGTCTTGAATTACGCAGCAGCGATAACACGACCGAACGCCGGTACACGGCTCATCACGATCAAAGTGGATAGGGACGGGGATCAGACGCAAATGACTCCTGAACCGGCTTTGCTAAGTGAAAAAACAAAGCCTGCCCCGTGTTTTTTTTTGTTTTTTTGTTTTTTTCGGGTATAATTTTGGCAGTGCTTTCGTTCACGTACTCTCGGCTAATCCAGGGCCGGCTTGCTAGAAGAAGTGTCTCAGTTGAGACTGCTCAAAGAAAGCGCTGCCAAGGCTCGGGCGCGCGAGCGTCTGAGACTCGGCTTAAGCTCGAGCGCTAGCCTTGACAGTGCTTTCTTTGAGCAGTCTCAACTGAGACTCTGCTTCGAGCAAGCCGGCCCAGGTTCTGTTTTCAGCAAGCCAGCCCAGGATTGTGCAGTATGAGCGTTCGCTTGTCATGCTCCGAGCAGCCAGCCGCACACTCATATCCCTCATTGGAAAAGCCTGTCCGCACAAAGGTCATTGGATTTTCGCGGAGTAAGATGTATTTCCCTGGCAAAGTGTTTGCCATTACTGTATCAGCAGAGCTAGGAAACTACTACCAGCTTCGTCTATGATCATCTATGCAAACTTGATGTTCACATCCCAGCCGAACATTTTCACGCAAACCGCAGCAATTCGGACGTCCGTAACGCCACGAACATCGGTTCCACTATCCAGAAGTCATGCTGATAACTCCCTCCTTATCTCGACACGAGTGGACACTCGCAGTGGACACCTCTCTTTCCCCCTTTTCTTTTATCTTTCTTTCTTTTTTTTTTTTTGCCCCTTCCTTTTTCTGCTAATTGAACAGATGTCCCTCCACTTTAGGAGAAGGATGTTGGAGTAGAAAAAGTAAATAAAAAATAGATAGAAAGGAAAAATCGAAGAAGCGAAAAACTAGGAAGAATTTAAGTAGAATCTTATCTAAGAACGTATCTAGTCCCGATTGTAGGCGTTTTGTGACGTCAACCGTATTCCTTTTTTTTTTCTTTTTTTGGTCGCCAAATAGGATTTTTTTGCGGTCTGTTTCGATATCTTCACGCGTCTCTGAGTGTCAATGAAGATGACTCTTTGGCATCCTTTATATCGTGCACGTTTCGATTACTTCACCTTTCTTTTTTCTGTTGTGATATTATTTTGTACAATCTCTCCACGAAACTTCTCAATTAACTGTTCCTTCCTTGTTTTACTGTTTTTTTGGGGGCGTTGCTCTGCGCGGCGCGACATTTCCTGGGGCACAGGCAAGAACCATGCGCGCCACGAGAGGCGATAACTTGTTTCCTTGCCTATCGTAGCTTTCCCTCCCATATCTATATAAGGTTTCATAATTTCCCTGTCAGTACTGATAGTCTCTCTTCTATATGTGTGGTCGGCCACCGAGGTGACCCTGAGGCAATATTACTACTAAATCCCTCCCATATCTATATAAGGTTTCATAATTTCCCTGTCTGCACTGATAGTCTCTCTTCTATATGTCTGGTCGGCCACCTCGGTGAGGCAGTATTACTACTAAATCCCTCCCATATCTATTGTTATGTATCAATGCACAGTATCCACTTCCGAAACCGTTCCAGTCACCTGTGGCCAGTCCCGCGTACGTTCGCTCTTCACTGCCGCTTCTTCCTCTTTAATCTCGTTCCCCCGCGCATCCGCGGGACGGGCCCGTTCGGTACCGCGCTATTCCTCACAATCCTCCCCCCTTAGAAAGCGAAGTCCGGTCGGTCCTCGCAGAACTTCAACAGCTGGTCCACATGTGCCAGTCCCGCCAGTCTTCCAGTTCTTTGGTCCCTCAGACGATATCATTGGCCCCCACTTTCCCCACCACCACGAAAGGTCCCGAACGTCTTGGAGCCTGTTTTGCTGCCACTCCTTTGCTGGCATCACTGAGGGTGTGCAGGTCGCGTAGTACTGTGTCACCTATTTGGGACTCCGACTGCTGTCGGGTTCGACTGTAGTAACGCCGCTGTTGCTCTTGCGCTTTTCTTTGGTTCTCCAGAGCAAACTCATACGCGTCCTGTAGTCTAGACGTCAAATCTGCCACGAAACCCGGCGTAGCCCTGATTGGTAAAGGGAGTTGGCCGGGGTTTTGTTCCCAAGGGCAGCGGAGCTGGCGCCTATAACACAAAAGGTCAGGTGAGTACCCTGTGGTGACGCTCTCACAGGTTCGCATTGCAAAGGCGACATCTCGGTGGTGTTGATCCAAGTCACGATGGGCACTGCAATATGCCATCAGGCACTGCTTTACTGTCGCATTATGCCGCTCCACCAGCCAGCCGCTCCACCAGCCTACAACGAAGATTATCAAATCTTCGTAGTAGGGCCGAAATTTCCGGATGTTCAGTGCCATGTTGCTGAACCGCGTCCTCCTCCGAGGGCTGCTGGGCGTCTTGATTCTGGTTGGGTTCCTGGTGCGCGACTTGATGAGACTCTGCAAACAACTCCTGCAGACTGTACACCTCCTCACCCAGCCGGGGATGGACTGGCACCCTAGAGCCAACGTCCCGGACAAAGGGGATTAGGGCCTGTGGTTCATTTCCCGGAGTCCAAGAGTTCAGAGACACATAAACCGAGATGTTAAAGGCATTCAGAAAATCCCTACCAAGTACAATGTCTCGGCAGAGGCCTGGCATATGCAGGAATCGCTGCTTCCTGGATCCTCCGGGCCAGTGTATTCTGCACCTAGTTGAAGGCGTAATCTCGGCCCAGTCCGCTGTAGGACGTAGGCCTCGTCGTTCCTCCTTGACGCCCACACCAGTGGCTGTGGCTGCCTCCATTGCTTCATCTCCCATTAAGCTGGCGCTAAACCCCGTGTCCAAAAGCGCCTTGAATGTGAACTTCCCAATACGAAGCTCTGACAATGGCTCCTTGCCGCCAGCTGTTGCAGCTACCTGCACTGTGGTGTCGTAGAGGCCCGCCGGAGTGGCCTCTACTGCCAAGAGTTTCCCTGGCACTTCGCTTGCTTGTGGCCAAGCTGGCCACACTTGAAACAGCGTGGTGAGCCCTGGCGTCTAGCGGTGGGACATTGTCGTTGCATATGTCCGATGCCGCCACAACGATGGCACTGGATCTGTGGAGGCTGGTTGGTTGCTGGGTACTGGTGAAGACTGCTGTGCAGGCCCGTCTGGTGGATCATTCTCACTGCTCCGACTGCACTCAGCTGGTCTCGATAGTATGATGGCTGGAGGGATGCCGGATGCAGGGGCCAGGCCTGGCTAGAAACTGGTGGTGGCACTGGTTCCGCTGCCACCGCAGGACTTTGAGCATGAGTCGTTGCACTCTTGCTGTAGAAGGCAAGGTCCCGTGCAACTTGGTTGGTGGGCTGTGGCGGGGGAACATACTGCACCCGCCGCCATACTCTTTCCATTAGCACATCCGCTGCCTGCGCAAGCTCTTTCAGGCTCGCAAAGGTCTTACCTGCACAGAGGTCTTGGAACTGAGGGTGCATTTGCTCCAACACTCGCTGGACTTTTTCGGCCTCAGTCACATCCTCGCCGATCCTGTCATAGTACGAGGCTATAACATAGATGAACTGTTTAAGGTTCTCCTCCGGGTGTTGAGTTCGGAGCCTCAGTTCTTGTTTTAGGCGTTTCTTTTCGTCGACGGGTGCGAACTGCTTTCGGAAAGCGGTAGCAAACGTTGACCAGTCGGCGAAGTTCTCTGTGAACCGAAACCCCAGTTTCGCGCTCCCCTGGAGGGCTGCAGGTACGACCCGCCTAAGCCGGTCCTCGAGTTTCAGGCCGTGAACGAGGCAAAAGTTCTCCAGGTGGTCCAGGAACTCATCTGGCGACTGCACATCTCCGAAACCGATGAATTTCGGGGGCTGAACGGGGACCAGTCGTGGGCGCGTCGAGTCTTGGTCATCCGTTGTGCTGGCCTCAGTGACAGCCGCCGCGACGAAGGGCGCCGCTCCCTCTTCCGTGGCTCGTATCGGAGTAGCAAACAAAAGTTCACGAACGTGGGCCGCGATCTTCTCCCGCTGTAGCGGTGTCCCGTCTGTTTGTTGCAGCAGTGTCTGAAGAAGCTCCGGTGGCACGAACACCGACGGTTGGTTCATTTTAAGCAACGGACGAGCCCCCACTTGTTATGTATCAATGCACAGTATCCACTTCCGAAACCGTTCCAGTCACCTGCGGCCAGTCCCGCGTACGTTCGCTCTTCACTGCCGCTTATTTCTCTTTACCCTCGTCCCCCCGCGCATCCGCGGGACTGGCCCATTCGGTGCCGCGCTATCCCTCACAATATATAAGGTTTCGTAATTTCCCTGTCTGTACTGATAGTCTCTCTTCTATATGTCTGGTCGGCCTTCTCGGTGACCCTGAGGCAGTATTACTAGTGAATCCCTCCCATATCTATATAAGGTTTCATAATTTCCCTGTCTGTACTGATAGTCTCTCTTCTATATGTGTGGTCGGCCACCTCAGTGACCCTGAGGCAGTATTACTACTACATCCCTCCCATATCTATATAAGGTTTCATAATTTCCCTGTCTGTACTGATAGTTTCTCTTAGTCTCTTCTATATGTCTGCTCGGCCACCTCGGTGACCCTGAGGCAGTATTACTACTAAATCCCTCCCACATCTATATAAGGTTTCATAATTCCCCTGTCTGCACTGATAGTCTCTCTTCTATATGTCTGGTCGGCCACCTCGGTGATTCTGAGGCAGTATTACTACTAAATCCCTCCCACATCTATATAAGGTTTCATAATTTACCTGTCTGTACTGATAGTCTCTCTTCTATATGTGTGGTCGGCCACCTGGGTGACCCTGAGGCAGTATTACTACTAAATCCCTCCCATATCTATATAAGGTTTTATAATTTCCCTGTCTATACTGATAGTCTCTTTTCTATATGTCTGGTCGGCCACCTCGGTGACCCTGAGGCAGTATTACTACTAAATCCCTCCCATATCTATATAAGGTTTCATAATTTCCCTGTCTGTACTGATAGTCTCTCTTCTATATGTCTGGTCGGCCACCTCGGTGACCCTGAGGCAGTATTACTACTAAATCCCTCCCACATCTATATAAGGTTTCATAATTTACCTGTCTGTACTGATAGTCTCTCTTCTATATGTGTGGTCGGCCACCTCGGTGACCCTGAGGCAGTATTACTACTAAATCCCTCCCATATCTATATAAGGTTTCATAATTTCCCTGTCTGTACTGATAGTCTTTCTTCTATATGTCTGGTCGGCCACCTCGGTGACCCTGAGGCAGTATTACTACTAAATCCCTCCCATATCTATATAAGGTTTCATAATTTCCCTGTCTGTACTGATAGTCTCTCTTCTATATGTCTGGTCGGCCACCTCGGTGACCCTGAGGCAGTATTACTACTAAATCCCTCCCACATCTATATAAGGTTTCATAATTTACCTGTCTGTACTGATAGTCTCTCTTATATATGTCTGGTCGGCCACCTCGGTGACCCTGAGGCAGTATTACTACTAAATCCCTCCCATATCTATATAAGGTTTCATAATTTCCCTGTCTGTACTGATAGTCTCTCTTCTATATGTCTGGTCGGCCACCTCGGTGACCCTGAGGCAGTATTACTACTAAATCCCTCCCATATCTATATAAGGTTTCATAATTTCCCTGTCTGTACTGATAGTCTCTCTTCTATATGTCTGGTCGGCCACCTCGGTGACCCTGAGGCAGTATTACTACTAAATCCCTCCCACATCTATATAAGGTTTCATAATTTACCTGTCTGTAATGATAGTCTCTCTTCTATATGTGTGGTCGGCCACCTGGGTGACCCTGAGGCAGTATTACTACTAAATCCCTCCCATATCTATATAAGGTTTCATAATTTACCTGTTTGTACTGATAGTCTCTCTTCTATATGTCTGGTCGGCCACCTCGGTGACCCTGAGGCAGTATTACTAGTAAATCCCTCCCATATCTATATAAGGTTTCATAATTTTCTTGTCTGTACTGATAGTCTCTTTTCTATATGTCTGGTCGGCCACCTCGGTGACCCTGAGGCAGTATTACTACTAAATCCCTCCCATATCTATATAAGGTTTCATAATTTACCTGTTTGTACTGATAGTCTCTCTTATATATGTCTGGTCGGCCACCTCGGTGACTCTGAGGCAGTATTACTAGTAAATCCCTCCTATATCTATATAAGGTTTCATAATTTACCTGTCTGTACTGATAGTCTCTTTTCAATATGTCTGGTCGGCCACCTCGGTGACCCTGAGGCAGTATTACTACTAAATCCCTCCCATATCTATATAAGGTTTCATAATTTACCTGTTTGTACTGATAGTCTCTCTTCTATATGTCTGGTCGGCAACCTCGGTGACTCTGAGGCAGTATTACTACTAAATCCCTCCCATACCTATATAAGGTTTCATAATTTACCTGTTTGTACTGATAGTCTCTCTTATATATGTCTGGTCGGCCACCTCGGTGACTCTGAGGCAGTATTACTAGTAAATCCCTCCCATATCTATATAAGGTTTCATAATTTCCCTGTCCGTACTGATAGTCTCTTTTCTATATGTCTGGTCGGCCACCTGGGTGACCCTGAGGCAGTATTACTACTAAATCCCTCCCATATCTATATAAGGTTTCATAATTTCCCTGTCTGTACTGATAGTCTCTTTTCTATATGTCTGGTCGGCCACCTCGGTGACCCTGAGGCAGTATTACTACTAAATCCCTCCCATATCTATATAAGGTTTCATAATTTACCTGTTTGTACTGATAGTCTCTCTTATATATGTCTGGTCGGCCACCTCGGTGACTCTGAGGCAGTATTACTAGTAAATCCCTCCCATATCTATATAAGGTTTCATAATTTACCTGTTTGTACTGATAGTCTCTCTTCTATATGTCTGGTCGGCCACCTCGGTGACCCTGAGGCAGTATTACTAGTAAATCCCTCCCATATCTATATAAGGTTTCATAATTTTCTTGTCTGTACTGATAGTCTCTTTTCTATATGTCTGGTCGGCCACCTCGGTGACCCTGAGGCAGTATTACTACTAAATCCCTCCCATATCTATATAAGGTTTCATAATTTACCTGTTTGTACTGATAGTCTCTCTTATATATGTCTGGTCGGCCACCTCGGTGACTCTGAGGCAGTATTACTAGTAAATCCCTCCTATATCTATATAAGGTTTCATAATTTACCTGTCTGTACTGATAGTCTCTTTTCAATATGTCTGGTCGGCCACCTCGGTGACCCTGAGGCAGTATTACTACTAAATCCCTCCCATATCTATATAAGGTTTCATAATTTACCTGTTTGTACTGATAGTCTCTCTTCTATATGTCTGGTCGGCAACCTCGGTGACTCTGAGGCAGTATTACTACTAAATCCCT